GGTTTTTTGTTTGATTAAAGAAGTCCTTATATCCTTTTTTTCTTATGTTTTTTGTTATTATGTAAAGTGTGCATTTTTTAGATACTCTTTTCCATACGCCATTCTGAAATTTAACCAAAACTGCCATGATTTTGAAGTTCACATTGGAGTAAGTGCCATATGTTGGCAATTTGTTTGTCTTAGCCTGCTGATGCTGTTATCTAGTTTGATGGGTAGCTTACACATGAATTACTGATAATATGGCTCTTTTCTGATTTATGGTGAAACCGGCTTTTGCAAAGATATTTGCATCTTTGAAATAGTGACAATATAACATTGTGTAGATGCATTATCGATGGTAAGTAATTTTACTTTTAAGATTTTCCATGAAACATTGGGTTGGCAACTTAAATAACCAATTTTTTTGCTGGAGGATATACTATGCTGTGTTAAGCATTACGACTATTGATAAAAGGTATCTGGTACAATTGAGTCAAAATCGTATGCGGTGTTTTTATTCACAGAGGTGACGATATTCTGTAAATGCAATCTTGTAAATTGGTTATTATGCAATAACCTGTGTTGTCCGAGCTTATTGTTCCTTCTGTTACATGATTATCTTGGGTATGAAATCTGCATTTGCCATCAATGAAGTGTTGAATTTCAGTGAAATTGTCCTTCTGGACATGCAATGTGTGGCTATGTTTGCACTTAATTTACCAAATTGGATAGCTTGTGTGTCGAGAAAAGAATCAATGTTTTGCCTTAGGATATTATTACTCATGATCTTCTGTCAATTAACTAACGAACCCAATCAATTTCTAATAGGTTGTTAATTTTCAAAGTGGCTATTGCGATAAGCATCTGCAGCAAAGATCTTATTTTCCTTCTCCATGCAATAATTTGAGATTTATGGAGAGAGGGACACTTGACCTGTCCAAATACACTTCACAAATGATTACTATGCTCTTAACATGTCCTATCTGTCTGCATTAGGAGATCAAAAAAGAAAATCAATTTATAATTAAACGGCTTCAGGGTGACTGCCGGCAGTCTGCACTGATAAACTCTTCTCCTAACCTAAGAAAAGTTTCTGCATATCTCCTTGTCGGCCTAGCATGTTGTCACTCATTCAATTATGTTACAAGGCAGGTCTTGAAGTTTTTTTTCAGTCCATATCACTTGATGAATAATCCAATGGACGAATTAACATGCATTCAGTTGTTTAAGTTGACATAAAGTCCTTGGTTTTTTGTTGGCGAATGGTAATTGGGGTCTTCAAAACGTACTTGTAGGTGAAGATTTTTGACATCTGATTAACAGCTTCACTTTGACACAGGTGGGAGGGATTTATTCACATTGCTTTGCAATGTTGGTTTCAGGACTTGAAGCAACATGTATCTTCTGATTCAATGACTGGGACTCCACACCCAGCTTGCATCAGGCTTTTGCACTTTATGATCATGTTACTTGGTGATGCTGATACGATGTTTCGCAAAGCTTGCTTGGTTAATTCAATATGTTTTTCAAGGGACACCAACCAATGGCTTTATCAAAGCCAGGTTGCCATTTTGAGAGATCTAATTGATAAGATTAACGAGTCATCTAATTTCATGGAGACACTGCAGAGATTGGAGAGGTCGATTCAGAAGGAGGAAGATCCGTTCAGGAGGATAAGATGGCTTGAAAGTTTCAACCGCAAAGAAGAAGAAGCCAATGATAGGTACAAGTATTACGTACTTGATGTAGATGAACACATATATGGTTCACATCCTGAGGAAAAGGAAACACTAGAAGCAGCGTTTTTTACAGTGAAATCTGAGTTCTGTAAGCAAGTTTTGTTGGAGGATGTAGTTCCTAGGTACAGGTTGCTGCTGGAGAAGTACAGGAAAGTGAGGAAGCAATATTTGAATGGAATGCTTTCGCTGCACCGTGACTTGGATTAAATTGAAAGTTTTGTTTCGATCTCTCGGTGCGATCATGAATGACCTTTTAATCATTTGTTAACTCTTGTCTCGATCTAACTCTTTCCTTTCAAAAGTTTCAGTTTCCATCCTGAACTTCCTAAATGTTACATGTCACTTCACCTTGGTCGTTCACCTGCGTTTGCCGCACAAAATAACATGAACCATCTTACCATCTAGTGACTCACCTTACTTGAACGGGATAAATGTTCTATAGGCTCATATATCTGCGTCCTTGAGTCCTAAGACTAGAATCCAGATCCTTAAAGTAAGCCTGTCTTTTAATCTCCTTCTTGCCCTTCATACTGTATAATCCTTATATAACAGCATACAGAGTTATAATGTATATCAACATAGATTGGTGCTTAAAGGATTTGGAGGTCAGATTATTTCGGATGAGGTTTGGTTTTTTTTTAATACAAAATTTTGATAATTATGTAATCTGATGTAACTGCAGAGGTTCATATTAGAAATACATGTATTTTTTTTTTGTTTTTTTTTTTTGTGCTTTCCCTCCCTAGATTCCATAAATTTAGCCGAAAGTAGTGTAAGGGCCTTCCGGCTGCGACTCGTTAGGCAATGAAGACCATTCCTAATGTTGACAGCATCGGAAGATCGATCCATCCATGTCTGTGGCAAAGTGTGGTGAGGAAGATGAGAAGCTAAAGAAATTGCTAAAAGAGCTTCGATGACAATGACGATGAGAGGAAAGTCAAATAATGCTTGAATTGAATCTCAAAAGAGGGGTTTGGATCTAACAAAATCTGAGAGGTCCTTGGTTAGTTGTGTTATCTGGCAGCAATTGGGATCGAGTGAACAAGTCCAAACTGTTAAACGGAAAGGAATCCAACCAAATCCTATGTTTCTTTATTACGTTCAACCGTGGAAGACCTTTAAAAAATTTCGTTAATTAACTGAACCGGGCCGATTTTGACGCTACATCGGTTTGGTGGCAATTATATATGAAGAGCAAATAGAGTTGAAGCAAGTAGAATATAATTCTCCTTTCTGCAGTATCAGTTTTTGCTGAAAAATGTGTCTAGAGACATTTCTTTTTCGTTTTGCGGCTGTGCCTCGTACATCATGCATTCCAGATACAAATTACAATATGTCGGATTGTGGATATCCAGATGTGATTTGTTTCCGTTCTATGGTTTCATTTGGTTTGCTTCCAGAGAATTTTCCAACCTAATCGCGGTAAGATAATAAGTTCGCAACTGTGCAAAAAATAAGTCGGAACGAGAAGAGCTAATGAATATCTTTCTGGATGAGAACCATGAGCCTAGAGTCACAGGTTGACCTATCTAGAGAGTTACTTGGAATTTGAAAAGATGAAGATGATTCGAACATTGCTTAAGGAGGAAAGCATTTAGTCCAGAGATTCATCCTTTATGCTCAGCCTGCTATAAATTTTGATTCGTAGATGTCCCATAATAAAAGCCGGTATAGTGCAAGTGTTGAAATAGAAGGGCTGGTACGAAGAGAGGTTGAGGATGATTATATGACTACTAAGTCCAAGTAAGACAAGTTTGTTGCTCTACTAAACAGAAACTCTACAGATCGTCTCCTATCGATTTAAGATAGTGCATGGATCAGTGCGATTTCATACCCATCATCTCCGTGATCTCTCGAATGATAGACATTTTTGAAGTTCTGAACTTGCAAAATGAAATCCTGAGGGCGAACTTCAATACTGGCAAAAGACGCTAACAGTTCTTCTCCATCTCGCAATGCCCGAGCAAGAGAAATGGAAATTTAAGATAGACGTGGTGAAAAGATCAATCAAAACTTGCCCGAGCAATTTGATTCGTTGAGAAATGCCACTTGCACTTTTAGGATATGAGAGACTAAACCTATCTTCCTGGTGAACTTGACCATAATGCTACAGGGTTTTGCTACTCGTGAGATAAAGCAAACTGATAATGAACCTGCAATGGAGTTTCATCCCAACATACTTTACATAATCAGGTACCAAATCGACTCTGCTCAAAGGGATGATAAAGCCTGGATTGTCATCGTTGTCATTATTGTAAGATTGTAAGAGCACACACCGGGGATGGAGGGAGAGACCCTCAGATGGACAGACAGAAAGAGGAAATGTCTCGAGATCGTGTTATATATAAGAGAAACCCATTTGTAAATTTGTATATACGCCTTGAGATAGCATGACAGCACACATAAAGGGATGCGTAAACAACCACAAAATTGGATTAGTCACTTGAAGAGACACCAACAATTCTGTTTTCAAGTTCCAAACCAGCAGATAAGGATCCAAAACTGCGCCTACCAAACACTGAAGCCCAATACAAAATCGTTATGATATGAACTAATCCTGATGATTAATAACGTGAACATGCAAAAAACTGCGAGGCTACAGCCATGATGGATTTTAGCAATCAATTGCAATACTTGATGCAGCAGCAATATCCTGATTAGAACGACAATCATAGCAATGAAGAATTCGACCTGATAATAACTAAGGACTGACACACAAACATAATTTCGCTGCAACCAACCAAAGAACTACCAATTACATAATTAGTTTCAGCTAAAGCGGTTTTGAACTTCCTATCACGGTCGCAAACCAAGATTCAGAATTGTCGGGTTCAAAGCACGCTCTCTCTAGAATCGAACTTCAAACTCTGCAATTCCTATGGTCAACTAGTTACAAGAATAATTCAGAGTCAAGGGCAAGAAACAAACAACTCTCCCCAATTCGCTATTCACCACCTGCATTCGGAAACTATCCTTAGAAGTACTGAATTCGATCACAGCCAACAAAATTAGGCACATCTCATCAACTTGCTCGCGCCCGATCATCGGAACATGAACAGCTAAAATCGCAAAAGTAATCCCAGTACCAGCACAGCAAATGCCGGAAGCTTCGAAAGTAGTCCACCTAACAAACCGTGACAAGCTCAATTCAATGGCACACGATCTAACTGTAGAATGCACCAGCAAATGCACGCATCAGGTGCACTCTTTTCACCTAATCCCAAGCACTCAACGCAGGAAATATTCCGTCCAAATCAGAAGCAGATCCAAAACCCAGAACGGTAATAGTAACAGATATCAAAATTTGAAAGAGATGATCAAGCTCCAAAATAAACCACTACAATCAAATCCAGATGGTCCACCATTTTCACTCAATCCATACATCAAAAACAACCTAACACAGACACCCAATTCCTCAAACGGGACCGAAGATCAGAACCTGAGCTTGGTGAAGAACCACCTGTTCTTCCCCGTCTTGAACCTATCCTCGAGCCTCTTCTTGGTCTCCTTGGCGGCGGTGACCTTCTTGTCCTTGCTCTGGAGGACGTCCGGGGTGACGACGTCCTTGAGGTCGACGTCGAGGGTGTAGCGGGTGGGCATGAGGTGCCGGTAGTTGACGAGCTTGACGAAGGTCTTGACCCGGGACTTCTTGGCGGTCTTCTTGGCCGAGTCCTTCTTGATGACCTTGCTGGGGTACTTCTTGATCCCGGCGACGAGGCAGTGGCCGTACGGGCGGTCCCGGGTGCCGTCGTCGAAGTTGCGGATGATGACGGCCTTCCGGCCGGCGTAGCGGCCCTGGAGCACGATCACGGCCTTCCCGGGCTTGAGGAACTTCACCATCTTCGGCCTTCTTGGAGATCTCTGCTTGAGGGTTTTTTCGCTCTTCTTAGGGGGGGAGGCTAGGGTTTCCTGTTCGCGGCCGGCGAAGAAAGGGATGAGGCGAGGCTTTTATATTGTGGTGGGAGAGGCTTTTGGAGAGCGAGAGAAAACCCTAGCTAATTTGACTCTTTGGGGGCCCCATTAATAAAAACGAAAATAAAAAAGAGACAAATATTGCGCAAAATATTTAGAAATTTTCTATTTTACTTTTTCTTTTATGTACAATTGATTGAAATAGGAAAATGACAAAAAAAATTCTTGAACTTTGGTCCAATGTACAATGTGGTCCTTAGACTTTTGGTGCGTCTTCAATTCAATCCCCGAACTATACGAAAATTGCTTAATGTAGTCATTCCATCAAATCAAGTTCAGGGATTACATTGAACGATTTTATATAGTTCATGGATTGCATTTAACATGTGTCAAAAGTATAAGAATCACATTGAATAAATTAAAAGTTAAGGGATCATATTGAACATTAGGTTAAAGTTTATAGATTACATTGAACAAATTTGACAAGTTTTAATACTCAATTACATTTTTTGCAAGTAGTGCAATTTATAAGACTTATAGTGCACTTATTTCTTCTTTTTTATGTATATAATTGATTGAAAAGTAGAGGTTATCGCCAATCACTTGTAAAGTAGCGATTCTTGATGACGAAATTCACTACATATAATTGACCTGAAATTAGCAAATTAGGATTTATGCTAGTCATGTTCGTATCGTAGTTCTGTGAACTTACTCAACATCATTGACAAGTGGATTAGATTTAAATTCAATACAAGCGATTATTTATTGAAATTTTTTTTTTTTAAAATTGTTTATTTTCAGTGAAATAAACTCAACCTTAAAAAAAATTATTAGGAATGGTGCAAAAATTTCATTTTTTTTTAACAGCAGGCTAGCTTCGATAAAAGAGTTGGGCCCGACAAAGTTAAGCAAAATTTTATGGCCCGAGAAGAAAATGGCAATGCAAGGAAAAGCCCTGAGAAGTAGAGAGATCCACTTACGACACAGCAAGAGAATTCCACTTAGGTTTTATTTGGTTGGATGTCGAATTAGATTACCTAAAAAAATTTGGGAATTCATTTTTTTTAGATATTTCATGTTGGTATGACATCTAAACTTGGAATTGGGTTACTCATGAAATATGATTTATAAACCTAAAAAAATCGAATTTTAAGTATAAAGCAACACTTGATATTGAAATTTACTACCACGGTGATTATACTACGTTACCATCAAATTCATGGAACAACCGAGCCTGCTGCTTCTTGCTATTGCAGCGTCGCTAGCTACCACCGAGGACCTTGAGGGCCAGCTCGGTGGATATTCGCTTCTCTCTGCCTTGATTGAGATTGTTTACAAGGTTTTGTGAGAGAGACATTGCGAATCCTATGCTTGGCCACGTCACATAGAACCGACCCCCAGGTCGGGCTCGTAACCTCAACAACCTAGACTGGGGACCCCAAGCCAGCCTCGCGACCCCGCCACTTAAATCGAAGACCCCGGCGGTCAACTCGAGACATCGACACAAGCAGCTTAGGCTATTTGGTCAATCGAAGATTCTGTATAGGTATGAATGGTTTCTTCTGCCACTAGTGGCAACATTGTCGTGCTCCCTTCTTCAGTGTATATTACTATGTAACTTCAGGCTAATGTAATGGAGTCATTTTTACCGAGGTTTGACCAAATTTTGACAAAAAAACATAAGCTTTGCTGAATTACCAATTGGCCTAATTGGTTGGCCAGGTCACTATCAAGAAAAATTATGATCTTCCAAGATCGATGGATGCATTCATATTTATCTAGTCATAAGTTTTTGAGCGGCTCGAGAATCATGACGATTAGAGATTCAATGAGGAAGATGACATGACTTTTCACCATGACTATCCATCCGGTCGAATTCGCGAAAATCCGCAAGCTCAATACTTCTCCGTTCAATCAGAAACCCATTGCTCGGATGCTTGGATGCTTATATGCGATCGGCAGTTATCCGCTCTTTACTTAGCTAGTGCACCGCTCGCCCGACAGGAAGTAACGAGGCCGTGCATCGAGTGATGAAGCTGCTCTCTGTCATCGGAGAATCGTAATGAGGCGAGGAAAATGCTCTGACTTTGGATATTCCGAGCTCCAACTTGCATGGTCAACACACATCTAAAGCGCAACCAACGTTTGCTTTTCCGAGGAAAATTGGCCCAAGTTGCTATGCTGTTGAATCTGGTTGAGAAGGGTGATTGGAAGCCGTTTCAAACTCGTCGACAGAGTCATCTAATCTCTCGCTTAATGTTTGTACGTGACCTCTTATTTGCTGAAGCTTCTTCTAATCAGATGCGGCTTATTATATATTGTCTCCAATCCTTCTGCGATACCTCTGATCAGAAGGTAAATGCTGCTAAATCTAAATTTTTTTCTCTAAGAATGTCCTTCGACAACAAATGCTTCATATCAGCACTGTAAGAGGGTTCTCTCTTACTAGTAATCTTGGCAAATATTTACGAGTGCCTCTACTTCATGAACGAGTTACTCGCAGAACCTGCCAACCTATTGCTGATAGTGTACATAGTAAATTTTTTTTTTTGCTAGAAAGTACATAGTAAATTAAGTGGTTGGAAGGCTGAAAATTTGTCACTTGTTGGAAGAATCACTCTAGTTCAACCTGTTACTATGACTATGCCAGTATATGTGATGCAAGCTGCGAAAATGCCTGCTATAAATTGCTAAGAAGTTGAGCGAGCTTGTCAAAACTTTATTTGTGGAGATGTTTAGGATAAAACAATATGCAATTAGTGGGATGGGAGAAGATTTGTCAACCAAAGAATTATGGAGGGCTAGGAATCCGCAGTTTAAAGACATCTAATAAAGCTTTCCTTTTGAAACTTGCTCGGTTCTTAGTTTCGAAACCAAAGTCCCTGTGGGTAGCTTTATTCGAGAAAGTATAAATGTTTTGAGCTATTACCTAATTTTATTCCAACTCGTTCTACTCACTTTTACTTTGGTAAGCTATCATTGACATATGGTGTGACATCTAAAGGGGCATGCGATTGGTAGTGGTGAAAGGGAGACCAATTAAATTCTGGACCGATAATTGGGTCGATGAAGTTGGTCCACTAGTTCACTGAATTTCACCATTTGTAACTGTACCAGATCTTGACTGTCTTGTTGCTGAGTTTGTCTATAACGACCAATGGAATCTCACAAGCCTAAAAAATGTTCTCCCTCGATCTATTTTTAATGCGAATCTAGTCTATGCTACAACCTTCAGACTGTGATGGTGATGACTTATTATAGCACTGGCTCTTTTAGTGTTAAAGAAGCTTGCCAGTTAATCTCACCGGAGCCTCGATTGTCCACTGATAAACTCTAGAGTTTAGTGTGGAAATGGGACAGGCTACAAAGGATCGGAAGGTTCTTGTGGCTGGTAAAAAAAAAAAAACTTACAGTGAATTCCTGTTGCACTTATTGTTCGCAATCCACTGAGTGCAAAGAATGTTTGGAAAAGATTTTACGTACCAGTTCAAGAGGTGAATTCTTTACCCATGATCTACACGGGTGGGTGTTGATGAACTTATTTGCTTTATCAACCCAAGTAAAAGAGAATAATTGGCTGCTAGTGTTTGGCGTAGCTTATTTGCACTTTTGGAATTAGATAGATAAAAGACTATTTCAAATGAACTTCCCTCTTCGAGGCACTTTTGTGAGCCTGATCTTGGGATATGTTAAGGATATCCTTTCGGCTCGAATGGCAGAAAAGAGACTGTCTTCCTAGAGAAATAAAAGAGAGACATGTGGGTTGGATAGCCCCTCCCCCTGGTTGGATCAAGCTTAAAAAAGATAAGGCCTGTAAAGGCAACTCGGGTCTAGCTTTAGTAGGTGGATTTCTTCGCAATAAATCAGGCAACTGGCTTGCTAGGGTTGTGCTCTTCTTTAAATGTTGAACTTTGGGGTAATCCTTTTGGATCTTAAACTAGTAATCTCTCTGGGCATTCCCAAAATTATTGTGGAGGTGAATTCGCAAGTGGAGATTGCATTGCTTTAGAAATCAACTATTTATCACAATTTTGGCAACATCATCATCTTTCGAATTTAGAAATTGCTAAAGTACTTCCAACAAATCAAAATTCTTCATACTTTTAGGGAAGGAAATTTATATGCAAATTGGTTAGTAAATTGGATCATTCAGTCCTGCGATGTAAATGCCACTTCGGCACTATATAGGTCACTAAAAGGTTTAATTCCCTTATTGATAGGAGATCCGTCTGGTTTAAGCTTTGTTAGGCAAGTAGAATGTAATACTTAGGCTTTGCCCATTTACTTCCCAAAAAAAATTATGATTGAGAAAGTACATAGGGAACTGGGAGATATGATATGATATTCATGAAAAAGAAGGTAAGAGATCATGTATATATAGAAGCATCTTTTTACACCGTGCAGTGGAGGCCGGAGAGTTACAATACTTTATCCAATAAATACTAATATAATACGAACATTCCAATAAATAGCATTAAACTTAAGATCAAACAGTAATGTAATTGTTGTTTAATATGAAACTGGTATGAATTTATATAAATATCTTATACATTTTATACTGTTTGATTATATTATATTACCCAAATCAAATTTGAATACCTGAATGCAATGCACCTGTCTTTAACTAGTAAGACAATAGTTACTAGGATTGTGAAATTTAACATAATTGGGAATTAAACGAACAGGTCAGAAAATGCTAGAGTACAGAAACGCATCCACATTAAAAGTAATGAACGACCCTGCATTCTCTGAATAAACATAGTAACTTTGCAGGTTTGATTCATTAGGAAAGATTATCCTAGAAAGAGTAAAGCGAATATGTAACACAATAATCTCCAGATTACGACAACCAGCACAATAGGCAATTCTTTACACCTACTATTTTGATTGTCCAATTAAATTAATTACACAAATTTAGGACTTAAACTTTTTTAGCTAATATATTTATTTAATTGCATGATATGTAGATTTTAGGTGCATTTTGTATTAATAGGACTTAAAAATAATAA